GGTTGTCTTCTGGCTCAGTGAACAATTTTAAGGCTCTGTCTGTGGTCCTGAGATGTACAGTTAAGGAATAGTAGAAAGTTGCCTATTGGCTTGATTTTCTTTTGGCTTTATAATCAAAACAGCCTAGAACTTACTAGGAATTGGTTTCCTTGTGTGAAAAATAAAATGCTTCAGTACTTTAATGAATTAATTGTTTTGTATGAAAAATTAGAAGACATTTATTTAAAGAATTGGGATAATTTGTCAAAGTGTTGCTTGGAGTCATGAAAGTAGGTCCCTATACACTGGGGGGAGGTTAGAAGCAGGGCAGGAGAAGAAAAAAAGACAGAGGACAGAAAAGTTACCAGTTTCTTCTTAGGCATTTGAATGCAGGTGTTAGGGTTTCTCTCTTGGGCATTGCCACAGTGTGTCTATGGGATATACATAGATCTGTTGAAAGTAGTAAGAATCATTCCACATTTTCTGCAAGTCAACTTCGCTAGCAATAAAGCTGTGAAGATAAGTTAATGTGTTTTCTTTGGTTATAATTTGCCTATATTCTGTTTTTTGTGAAGTAGGACACTGAAGAGACTTAATGGGCCCCAGGGTAGAGGACTTTGAGGGGAAAAGAAGAGGTGAAGGTGATCTGAGAAGAAGTAATCCTGGTAGGGCAGAAGCTTCAGAACCATCAGTATAATTTCTTGTCTTATATTTCCTTTATCCCCCACAGCCCATAATCAATTATTGTTTATTGAATCTTTCAAAAAGACTTCATTCTACTGAATTAGGTTAACCTTTATATGAATACACACACGTAAAAGTAAAGTAAAAAGTAAAAGATTTAAATAAATACATAAAATATGTTATATATTTTAATATACATGTTTATATAATTTATAAATTACATAATTATTATATTTTTATGTTACATATAAAATGTATATAAAATGAAAAGTAAAAGATTTAAATAACAGTCCAAAACAATAATTCTGTAATCTCACATTTTAGAATTAAAGGTCATAAGATCATAAGATCATGAGATAATTTGGCCCAACCATATTCCTTTCAGGACCTATTCTTTTTTTTGGGGGGGGGAGACAATGGGGGTTAAGTGACTTGCCTGGGGTCACACAGCCAGTGTGAGGCCAGAATAGAACTCAGGTCTTCCTGAATCCAGGGCCAGTGCTCTATCCACTGTGCCACCTAGCTGCCCCCAACCATATTCCTTTCAGACAAAATGTTATTTTTAATTTTTAGAGGAGAAAATTAAGGCCCAGATTTAGTAGCAGTTCGGACTAGTGCCCAGATTTCCTGATTCCCCAGGCAGGGCTCCTTCTACTATATCATACTGCTTTCCTCTAAGGGAAAGATGGCTAGTTAATTGTTTAAAAATAGTTTTAAAAGTGAATGCTATTTCGGCATCAACAGTCTCAGTAAGATAGAAAAGTAAATAATGCTTATAGAAAATTGGCTGTGATGAAGGACTGCTTTGCTTTATGAGAAAATACTTAGTCAATAAACGTTTATTAAACACCTACTATGTGTCAGGCATTGTGCTTAAACTCTGGGAATAGAAAAAGGCAAAAGACAGTCCCTGCCCTCAGGGCATGTGCTGCCCACCTCACGCTATTAGGCTATTTAAATGAGAATTGTAGCATGGGTTCAGAGTGATAAGAGGAAGTTCCCACACAGATAGGGTTATAGTGTCAAGTCTGTTAGATGCCATCAGAATGTTGCATACTTAAGATTGTTGCAAATCAGTGTCCTGGCCTACCTGGCTCTGCCCCTTTTTCTAACACAGTGTAGGGAAGCTATCCAGCTTTTATGACCAAGATCAATTTCTAGGGTACAGGAATGGGACAGGAATTTGCTGACTGTACAGTAAAGGCAAAGGCACAAGGCTTATCCTTAGAGACTTGAGGGAACCTAAAAAATAAAACAAAATCATAGAATGGTAGAATTCAGCAGAGTGTAATTTCTTAGTCGGTAGGGATTGCTTTTTTTTTTTTTGTATTTAAGACCACAGCAGGGGTATATGGGTTGAAGGAGGACTAAGAGGGAGCCCTTTTTTTGTTTTTGTTTTTGCTAGGCAATGGGGTTAAGTGACTTGCCCAGGGTCACACAGCTAATAAGTGTTATGCATCTGAGGCCGGATTTGAACTCAGGTCCTCCTGAATCCAGGGCCGGTGCTCTATCCACTGCACCACCTAGCTGCCCCGAGGGAGCCCTTTTCAAGGCTGATTATCCACCTTTGCTATCCATCTGGCACTCAGCTCTCACCATTGGTTCCAAGAGGCTGTAGCATGCACAGGAGCGTCACCCAGGTAAACTGTCTCAGTAGACAGGTTGAGGATAACTGAAGGCCACAAACCTGTCAGTGAATTAGGGAGATGTCAACCCCAAGCATGTGAAGACTTCCCGTGGTGGAAAGGGTGGATGAGAACAATTTGTTCCAAGGGCCAGGAAGGCAGCTGAAGTAGGCACTGCAGAGCACTCAGAGCTCAGTCAGACATCAGAGAGGCCACCAACTGCATCCTGGGCCATCAACAATCGTCTTGACTTTTGGCTCGCCACTGGACTTAGATAACTCTGGAAGAGAGAGTGAGGCTGATGACTTTGTGCAACTTTGCCTCACTTAGACCCAATTCACATACAAGTGCAGACATTACCCTGTGATGTTATTGGTCCTCTTTGAAAATGAAGAACAAAGAACGTTGATCCCAGCATCTAACACAGTGCCTGTCATTAGGTGTGTCTACTTTTTAAAAATGCTTGAATGGAATTAGAAGGAAATTTAAAAATAATCTGCCTCACCTCCCTCATTTTACAGTTGTGGAATAGCCCAAGGAAAACAAATGACTTATCCTCCTAGTCCAATGCACTTTCTACTAAATAAGGATAAAATGAGATAACTTATACAAAGCATTTTACAAACCTTTGAACACTATAAATGCTAACTATAACAAATTAATGAGATATTTATTTTTATTAATAGTATTTTTGTCTGATATATGTGTGTATATACACACTCTTTCAAGACTATTATATTAGCATAATTTTGTTTATAAACCAACAAGGAAAATATGATCACCAAAATCACCATTTCTGTCTCTTGAAGTCTCTCAGCATTTCCTTAATCAATTCTGGATGTTAAAAAGACAAATGGATTTTGCTTGAGCTAAATCAGATATCAAGTAAGAGACAAGATGAGAGAGGAAGGTATGATGTTATGGTCTTTTTAAGCTTTTTCAAGGATTTACTTCTAGGTCAAGAAAATTCAATTTTAAGTTGTGCTTTAATGGATCCACAATCTCATCAACATTGGCACTCTTCACCAATGCAGATTGCAACCTATCCATGCCTTCTCATCCTGTACAAGTCTAATATATGTCTTTTCATAAAATCCTCCATAAAGGATCTATTCAGCATGCTAGAGGCCTTCTTCTAGGTCCAGGGTTCTTAACCTTGGGTCCATGAACTTAAAAAAATTGATAATAGCATTTTAATATAATTGTTTTCCTTTGTAAGCCTATGTGGTTTATCTTATGCGTTTAAAAATATCATTCTGAGATTCTCCACCAGACTGTTAAAGTGGTCTGTGATATTAGCTTTTTATCGTTTATGATTACCAGTGTAACATTATTGGTGTTTATCATCACCACATGATTGGCTTATTTCTGTTTCCAGTCAAACTTAAATATTTAATGAAGTCGTTTATGCCATTTCATTTCCCCAAGTCATCATTGGTAATAGGATACAGCCTACTTACATATGTCTTTCTAGTGTCTTTTGGGCTCAATAGTTTTGTCTTCAGAGATCTAGTGTTTCAAGATTTTCAGGCATATAGTATCACCACTGGTATTCAAAAGATGGGCTTTGGAATAAGGGAGCACCTTGTGATCCTCAAGTATTACATCATCTCCTAGATGTATTCCTACCTGATCTCTCTTTCCTATTTAATACCAGGCCCATTTCATTGTTCATCTGCATTGTTTGACAAAACACAAATATTGATCAGAGGTTCTTAACCATTTTGGGGTCATGGATCCCTTCTGGCAGTCAAGTGAAGCATGCAGACCTGTTCTTATGATAAGAACAGAATTGCATAAAATAATGATTGCAAAAGAAAATGATCATATTGAAATAGTTACCAGCATTTTTTTAAAAAGTTTACAGACCCCCTAATTAAGAACTCCTGTCCTAATATAATGTGAACAGTATGTATTCTTTATTCGCTTGTATTTTAAACATTTTTATTTCTCTATTTTGTTTTGACACAAAAGTTACTACCTAACAAAAAAAAATAAATAGTCCTGCTGTGAAAATTTTTCTTCATATGGCTCTTTTCTTGCTGTCATTAACCTCACTGGGTATAAACCCAATTGGGTAGGATCTCTTAATCAAAGAATCCACTTAAAAAATTAGTGGAATATGGATTTTAAAATGCTGTGCCCCCTGCACTAAACAAAGTGTCAGGCAGGTCTATTTTTTTGTCTTCTCCTTGGGCCATACCTTCCTGGACTCCCCCAAAGAAAGATTAATGGAGCTAGAGGGTGAGGATTTTGTTTTAAAACAAAATACCACAATCTATATCCCAGCCTGGGGTACATGTACACCCAACGGATACCAAAAGTTTGTCTATTTGGCAAGTAACTATAATACCCTATTAAAATATTCTAGAAGTTGTAATCGTGAAAAAAATTGTGGACTAAATAACAAATGTGACACATTTATGATACTAAAAGAGTTTTCTTTGAAAACGAACATATTCATCTTATTTTATTTAGGTGCATACATGTACATGATAAACTCTAGAATTTATTTCTTTTCATGTTGAAAAGGGGCAGCTAGGTGTCGAAGTGGATAGAGCTGTAGCCATGGAATCAGGAGGACCAGAGTTCAAATGCGACCTCAGACAGTTGACGCTTACTAGCAGTATGACCCAGGGCAAGTCATTTAACCCTGATTGTCTCACCAAAAAGCAAAAAAAAGTGGGGGGAGGGGGGAGGTATGGTAAAGATTTACTGAAAGCCAAGAGGTACAGGGACTGAAAAAGGATGGCAGCTCTTGACATATAAAATTGATAGGGCTTCTGTTGGAAGAATCAACCACAGAAATCAACAAGCTCTTAGGGAAAGGAAGACAAAAAGTATATCCTTCACTGGAGGTCATTCTCTACCTCAAGTTAATCTTTTATGCAATATCTTGGCCTATCACATTTGTCCTCTAGTAAAAATAAATAGGTACTTTTTTGGGTGAAAATTTCTGAGGTCCTAAAAGCAACAAAAGTACAAACAGAATAGTGTAGAAAACTGAAGTGGCATCAGTCAAGACTTAGCAATTGATAAAAATGCTTCAAGTTCATAACATTTGATGCTATTTGATAAAATTAGGCCCGTTCATTTTCATTCTAAAAGTTACCACAAGCTAGCCTTAGAAAGACTGTCATCCTCTGCCATCAGGTGCAGTGTTATCAACCATCCAACTGGTATCATGATTCTATAAAACATTTTACACTTAACCTCATTGCCTAACCAAAAACAAAAAAAACTATCAAAACATTTTACATCCCAAAGCAAAGCTGATAGGGACTGTATTCAGCTGAAAATAGAATTGAGCCTAGTAGGCCATTTATTAAAAACAGAATGTCCAGATTACAAATAAGCTAGGTCTATCTGATCTAATGTCTTATTATTTTCAAAGCATTTGAGTAACCTGAAATCTTCACCACCCAGTTTAAAACTGTCCGAAAGATAAAAGTATTTCTTAGAAGTATCTTCAATACTTGTGCATAAAGAATTGCCTTGGAATTCAATTCACTTTTATCAAATTTTAGCGCAGTGGTACAAGTAAACAAATGAATAAATATCTTAGCAACTGGGGGATCAAGAAAGATTTGCAATAGAGGAGTGTTACCTGAACTGAACTTTGAAGAAAGATAATTCTGAGTGGTGGAAGTAAGTTCATTTCATGCAAGAGAGACTCTGGAGATGTGAAATTGGAAGATGGGAAGACTGAGTTCAGAAACTGCTAGGAATCCATTTGGCTGAAATAGAGACTTCCTAAAGGGAAGTAGCATGAAATAAGAATGGAAAGGTAGGTAGGATTCAGACAATGAAAGGCCTCAAGTAACTAAGATTAAAAATTTTACTTTGTCTCGGAGGCAGTGGGAAAGCACTGAAAGTTTTTGAGCATGAAGATGACATTGGCAACCTTGGGTTATTTTGGCTACTAGGATAGTAGGAAGACTGGAAGTAGGAAGACCAGTTAGGCTGATGCCAGTGTAGGAGAGAGATGAGTGAATAAGGGTAATACTGTGAGTGGAGAGAAGGGGATAGATGAGGGATATTACACAAGTTAAACTGACATGATTTGGCAATTTCATTAGTAGAATGATGATTCCCTCAACCAAAAAGTTTGGAAGAACAGGTTTAAGGAGGAAGATAACCAGTTTTGTTTTTGATATGCCAACAGGATATCCAGGAGGAAATGTTCAACAGGCAGATGACACAAAGTTCCGAGTTCAAGGGATTATGTTTGGACATAGAGATTTGCATAAAGATGACACTTAATCTACTCCTGTAGGAGCAGATTAAATTAATCCAATCCAAAAAGTATTTACTAATAAATACTATAAGAAAGGTGCTGGGTATACAGAGACAAAAGGAGAAATAGTCCCTGCTCTCAAGGAGCTTACCTTTTACTGGGAAGCTACAAAATGTAAAGAGATAGATTGGAGAATGCAATGAGGTGTCATTTGCTAGTTTCCTCATTACACAGACACATACAAGATAATTTGAGGAGAGTGAGCAGAGAGAGAGGGGTTAAAAAAACACTCTTCATAGGTGGTGGTACCCGAGCTGAGCCTTGAAAGAAGTCAGATTCTAAGTGAAAAAGTAGGGTTGCTTGCCTGTACAAAAATCGAAAGAAAAGACTAGGATCTGCCCCAGGAAAATGCCCCTTCTAGAAAAGAGGGCAGGAGACAGAAGATGACCCTTCCGAAGAGATCGAGTAGTAGGAAAGGTAGCAGGGCCGGGAGAAAGCAGTGTTGCAGAAATCGGCAGTGGCAGTGGAGACGGCAATCATTTTTCAGTGTTTTTATCCCCACGAGAACAACCCCGCGCTCCCTGCTCTCCCCGCCCCCCCTAAAAAAGCCAGGGTGGAGAGTATCCTAGAGCTGGCAGAGCTGGTGTCTCTTTCGAGGCCCGTCACAACTGTCCCGACCTCGCTTGGCGCTTTTTCTCAGTTCCCTTAATCCCACCCGCCCTGTTTCGGCACTCCGTGGCCCAGAGCCCCACGCCGGCGGGCGAGTCCTGACGAAACAAAGGCCAGTTCGGGGCCGGCCTCCGGGGCGCAGGGGGCGCTGTGCTCCAGGCCACGGGCGCCAAGGCCGCCTCCGGCGCGTCCAGCGCCGGCTGTGAGACAGCCGCGATGAGCTCGGACGCGGCGCTGCTTCTGGAGGCGGCTGACTTCGCCGCCAGGAAGCATCGCGAGCAGCGGCGGAAGGACCCAGAGGAGACCCCGTACATCAATCACCCCATCGGTGAGTCCTTGGTGTAGGCGATGGCGCCTCTGCCCCTTTGGGGCCGCCCCTGACTGATCTCTGTGTGCTCTGCTCTGCAGGTGTGGCTCGAATCTTAACCCACGAGGCGGGAGTTACGGACATCACGGTTCTGCAGGTAACTAGAGCCCGCCTCGCGGGGGGTGAGGGAGGTGGGCGCCACTCTTCCCCCGACCTCCAGCTGCAGGCAGTGCCTTCGCCCGGCAGAAGCGGTGGCCGCGTCTCGGCACAGCAGCGTGGGTTGTGTGCGTTTCCAGGCCGCCTTGCTTCACGACACTGTGGAAGATACAAACACCACCTTGGAGGAGGTGGAGGAACATTTTGGGGCGGAGGTGAGGGGCATCGTGGATGAAGTGACCGATAACAAGGCGCTGCCCAAGCTGGAGCGAAAACGACTGCAGGTGGAGAACGCCTCGCAGAGCAGCCGGGGTGCCAAGCTGGTGAAGCTGGCGGATAAGCTGTACAACCTTCGGGACCTGAACCGTAGCACCCCAAAAGGTACACACACACACACACACACACACACATCTCTCTCTCTCTCTCTCTATATATATATATATAAATCTCCTTCCCACCGGCAGCAGAGCTGTGGGTTAGAGAGGGCGGAGGAGAACCCTTCTGAGGATAAGCAGGCCAATCACTTGCCGAAGAAAAAAAATGATTTTTAAAATTTCTTTGGCATTTCAGGTACTCGCAGAATACTATGTACTTTGTGTCCCTTTTGGCCTCTTATTATTTATCTTGGACTTTAATCCAAAAAATCCTTGCCAAGGGGAGATGTTCCTTTTTAATAAGAATCTCAGTATTTTTGGATGACCATTACATCCTTTCTCTTATTATTACGTTCCACAGCATTACACCAACCCTTCCACGGACAGTGTAAGACCTGGTGCAAAGCCACATTTTAATTGATTATTTGTGGTCGTAAAAACTATTCTCTCTGTCCCCCTATAGGATGGTCTGAGCAGAGGGTTCAGGAGTACTTTGAGTGGGCAGCACAAGTGGTAAAAGGCCTTCAGGGCACAAGCCCCCAAATGGAAAGTGCACTGCAGAAACTGTTCCAAGAACGAGGATTATCACTGTGAACAGCAGGGTTAACTAGAAATGTTTGATTTAATCCAAGAAGAGGATTCAAAAATCAATTCTGACCGATATCGAAGCCCCCAAGGCATATTGGTTCCTTTCAAAGATTACAAACAAGGAAAGACTCCACTTTTCTTCCTGCTACCTGAGCTAAACACTAATTTGTGAAAGTTAGAATGCCTTCTATTCCTGTTGTAACCCAGTAATACACTGTGATGTTGGAGACTGATTCTCTGGGTCTGTAAGCTTCTTTCTAAATTGGGTTCACTGATCATACTGAAGACAGAAAAACACTGATTTTTGTTTTGTTTTATAAATCCAATGAAAATAAAACAGCCTGCAGAAATTCTTATAATAGTTATAATTGTTCCCCATAGACCTTCCTGTTCATTGACAGGAAATAAGGAACCCTGGATTTGTAGATAGAATGTCTCTAATTTGAACCTTAGCTCTGCTTTCCATCTATGAGCTATTTAATGTCTCTTTGTCTTAGTTTTTTCATCTGTAAAATGAGATGATTGGATAAAATTAACCCTAAGCCCTTTTCCAGACTCCAAGATCTTTTGATGCCAATCTTAAATGGGATAGTCATAGGATAGTTAGCATTTAGAGGGTGTTAAATTTAGCTTTTAATCTGGTCTATAGAGCAAGACCTTTTTATTGTGCTCTGGAAAGTTTTGACTGTTAGCAACCAAATATGATTACGGACTTGCTGGTAAACTGAAGCACCTCAAACCTATTCCTATTCCTTCACCCTGCCAGGAAGGGAAGCCCCAAACATTTGTTTATTCATTGAACCAGCCAACAATCGGCACCTGCTATGTGCCTGCTAGGAAGAGATAACAGGATGAATAAAGTTGGCCCTCCAAAAGTTTTAATTATCTAGTGGTTTCCACAGGAAAGAAATATCTGAGTACTACGTGAATTGCCAGGTACACTGTGACGAGGGGGTGGCTGTTAAGCTAAATACCCTTCTCCCAAGTACTCTCCCAGCACTCAGCTTTCGAAGTCCTGTGCCATCAAAAGAAAAGGCCCGGGCTGCCCCCTGGGAGCAGGGTGCGGGCAAGAGGCAGGCGGGTTACTTAGGGCTCCTCTACAATACCCATGGCCCGTCGCCCGTCGTCCTTCTAGGGCACCCTGTGTCGAAGGGACTCCGCTGGAGAGCTGGCTCACCGAAGCTCGCGCCAGTGCCTTGGTTCTCGGGGCGAGAGGCCGGGCAAGGGCCTGCCAGGAAGTCCAAAAGGCTTCTGGCCTCGAGCCCTGCGGGCTCTGCGCCCCTCTGACGTCACCACTCTCTCACTCGCCTTCCAAGTCGTCCTTTCCCTTCCGTACTTGATGGGGTTGCTAGGTGATAGGGACTTCCGGTGTGTCCCGGAAGTGGACCTGCTGATCTTATTGCTCCAGAGCGATTGATTCAGAGCGAAGGTGGTGATTTGCCCTGGGGCAGGTAATCAGCCCCCTTCGACGGGAGAGTGAGCGGAGGCCTTCGAGTCGGTGCTGTATAGACTGTGGGGCTTCGAACCCAAGACGCCGAGGCCTGTGCAGGGTGGGGCCTTTTCGGGGCCGGGTGTGGCGGGAGGAGGGCTTGGGGTGGAGGCCGGTGGGCCCTTTGGGGAGAATCAGCCCCTGCTTCCCCGCGGCCTCTGCAGGTGTCCGAAACGCCGCTGTCTTCTGTACAGCACCCCTGCCATGGCTTTTCCACATCGGCCTGATGCCCCAGAGCTGCCTGACTTCTCCATGCTCAAGAGACTGGCCCGGGACCAGCTCATCTACCTGCTGGAGCAGGTCAGTGCACACCTGGCTGCCTCCCTTATGCTTCTCCGCCACTCTGCTGTCGGAAATTGCCCAAGGAAGGGCCACTTCTCAGGGCAGAGTGGGCAATGTACATAAATGTGTGAGGAGTGGGAGCCACCTGGGGCTCTGTTAGGTTGTTTACAGAAATAAGAACCACGTGTTTTCCTTTGAGTACTTAACGATAATGCCACCCTAACCCATGCTAGGCAATAGAAGAGTCACAAGTCATTCGCGTTAACAAATATTTATTAAGTTCTAGGAATGGTGGGCAGTACAGAAACGACACCTGTCTGCTAAGTGTTCATAATCTTGTGGGGGAGAATGATAGAACTGTAATATAAGGGATAGCTGATCAGTGCCCTTTGAGTGTTAATGGGATTTCAAAGGAGGGTAAGATTGCTTCAGGTCAATATGAGCAGAAATTTCTTTAGGATATTTTGATAGTTCGTGAAGAGGAAAAGGGTATCCCAGTATAAAGGAAACTTGAGTAGATACGGAACTAGAAAACTCTGTGTTTGTCCATACTGATAATGTGAGCGCAGTTTTAGTAAAATAAGAGGTGGGACTGAAAAGGTGAGTTTTGTCTGTGTCCTGTGCTTCAGTGGCTCCTGAACAAAATATACTTCTCGGGATGTTATTTTTTTTTTTACAAGCTGTCTTCCACCTACCTTATTATATTTACTTCATTATTCTCTTTTAAGAATTCCACATTCTACCTAAATTGGCTTAGTGGAGACTCCGTAAGGTGACATTCTATTTCTTGCTTTTATACCTATAGTCCACTCCTCCTTTACCTCTGCATCTTGTTATCCTTAGCTTTCTTACCTCAAGTGCCATATCCTAGGAAAGTCTTTCCTGACTCTCCTAGTTGTCCCCTCTTCCTCTTTAAATTATCCTATTTATTTATTTATTTACATGTCCTTACTCCCAGTAGAATGTAAACTCCATGCCAACTAGAACTGTTTGTTTCTGTCATATTTTCAGGGCCTAGCACAGTGCCTTGTATTAAATAAGTGCTTCATAAGTGTTCCTGAAATTTAAAAAGAAGCTCACTGATTCCTTGAGAGACTCATCATACTATTTGTATCCTCTTCAGCTTCCTGGGAAGAAGGACTTATTTATTGAGGCAGACCTGATGAGCCCATTGGATCGAATTGCCAATGTCTCTATTCTCAAGGTACCAATTTTCTCTGCTAGGTTCACTCATGACCCTTTTCTCTTTCTTTTCTTTTACTTGATATATTTACACCACAGTGCATCGCTACACCTGAATTTGATATATTAGCTAATGAATGTTTAGTATAGCATATAGAAGGGTCATGGCAAAACTTTTTGATACCAGTACCCAAGAGGCTTTTACAGTAGGGCTGTATAGTTTTATGACATTATATACTTTTCAGAGCATTTTCATGTATGTTCTTTCATTTGATCCTTCTTTAGCAACACGAAGTGGACAAACTGTACAAGGTGGAGAGCAAACCTGTCTTTAGTACCAGTGAACAGTAAGTTTTACCGTCCAGTGAGTCTCAAGTTCAGTTGGCCCTCATAATTGGATGTAATCCTTGAAAATGTCCATTTGATTTAGAAATTAGCACCAGGACCAAGAGTAGTATCTTGTCTATCACTCTGTAACCATCACTTCTTTGATGCTATACTGTTCTGGTTCATCTCTCTGTCTAATCTTTCATTATTTCATGCCTCAGTTATTACTATAGCCTTCTAACTTGCTTGTCCTGATTACCCCGATTATCTGTATTTACTAAAACACAGCTTTCATCATGTCATTTATCTGCTCAAAACTGTTTAATAGCTCCACTACTTACTGATTAAAATTCAGAGTCTTAATCTGTCATTCAGACCCTGCTTAATCTAGCTTACCAGTCCTGTCTTTTGCTATTTGCCTCTACATCCTCCATTCCAGTCATATTTTTCACTGTTCACCAAAAATGCCGTGTTATTCCTGTCTCAGCCTTTGCTTACCCATTTCCATTGCCTAAAATGCCATTTTTATTTCTCTCTGCATCTACAGGTCCTACCCACTCTCTGAGGTCTAGGCTCAAGTTCCTAGTAGTCTCTTCTCTCTGTGTGTACTTGCTTATGCCACTTATTTGGTAGTCAATTATAAACTGCCTCATGACTTTTCTTGAATTATTGTTACTAAACTTTATGATTATATTTTGTCTGCCTCAGTAGGCTTTAGACTCCTAAGGTCAGGAACTTCTTTGTCTCATCCAGAGTACCTAGAATGGTACAAGTCACATACTAGGTAGCTAGTAAATATCCTTTTAATGAAGCAGTGGCTTCTGCTGGACAATGGGTTATGAGGTGCCAGGGCAACTGGAAAAGTGCCTGTATCATGACAATAGATGCTCTTAGGATGGAGCAAATGGCTCAAGAGTAAAGAATTTCCATTCCCTTTTAGCTTTATTACAAATTTCCTGATTTTGTCACAGACATTTCTTTTATTTTTCTCATATCTTTGTTTCTCCTCAGGTTGTGCTTCCTTGTCCGACCCCGAATCAGGAACATGCGATACGTTGCAAGTGAGTGTAAAGTGGTGCTAAGATTATATTGGACCTTAGGGTAAGCAAGAGTGGTTGACCTTGGTACTGATAGACCTTTGTTGGGAAAAGATGTGATTTAGTTGGCAACAGCTAAAGACAGCTGACTTCCCTGCCTTTGCTAGGTCCATTCTAACTGCCATCACCATTTTTCCTATAGAAGACATACTAAATAGACTGCTGTTAAAGACTATGGCTCCCCTCTCTCTACAGACCTTGTCAATACTGACAAAATGGCTGGTCGGACTCGAAGGTACAAAGTGATCTTTAGCCCACAGAAGGTGAGTACAGATTCAGTACAGAGATCAAGGGTGGAAGGAGGTGGAACTGGGGGCTAGAAAGGCACAGGGAACAGCAGCTGTTTCCCGACACAAGTAAGTTATCTTCTCGTCTAAGAACTATAGCTAGACAGCTCCAAGTTAGAGTCAGTACCACCATCATATTTTTGGAGAATTCTTATAGGGAAACCCCCTTTGGGTATATAGAACCACAGAGTGTTAACAGGACCCTAGAGACATCCAAGCCATCTGCCTCAGTTTACAGATAAGGAAACTGAGGTACATAACTATTAAGAAGATGCCCTTCTTCTGTGCCTACAACCCTCTACTTCCATTACAGTTCTGGACAACTTCAGCATTAACACTGATAACTCATTTGGGCACCTTGACTCTGATGACTTCTCTCATTCCATACCCTCCATGGAGACCTACCATCAACTTCATTTTAGGGAATGAATACATAAGGCCTTTCCATTGCAAATTGTAGACTTACAAATTAATGCCAAACAAATTAATGTCTATGTATTCAGAAGGAGAAAAGTTAAAAGGACACTGGACTATAATCTTCATGATATCTATTTATGAATCATCTGTAGTTTATTTATGAGATTGCTAATGTTATGGAGGAAAATTGTAGTGGTTCTAAGTTGCATCTTTATCTTGATATGTTAAGGAAGTTACAGAGAAAAAAGGGTCTCTGTGCTGAGTCAGTGGG